TGGACTTCAGCGAAACTGGGAAAGGTCTAACACATTCAATAGTGAGGTGGTTAATGGAGTACCTCATGCTGATATTCCATGGGTCCTCCAGTTTCGCTAAAGCCTGCCGTGTGATGCGCGCGATAGCGGGCGGAGCAAAACTGGTTTATATAAGGCCTCAGCTCCCGCGTTTTCCGCTTGAAAGTGCGCAACAAGGGCGCAAAGATTTTGTCCAACCCGCATCTCACACCTTCGTCTGCAAGCCCCTCTCCGCCGTTGGTTGCCACGTGGCACAGTGTGGCACTCCTCTCGTATTCACGCACTGCTCCCAAATTCATCACCCGCTTTGTAGGAGGATCCCCATCAACTTGATCTCCCGACCGCCACCTTCGCTACGACGCATTCTAACACCATCACTTTTACACGAAATTGAAGTGGAAGAACACAACTGCATGAAATGTGTAGATCAGAAAGCGTGGCAGGTGAGATGTGTTGTGTATGAAGTAGAGAGCCTCCGTTGTGAAGATTTTCACATTGGAAATGGCAAGGCTACTTTTCAAGAGAATGGAGCAAATAAGGGACCTGAGCCATTCTCAGAATTATTCATAGCGTCCATTCTCAGAGCACTGCGCACTACGACAAGATCTGAAACCGGTACTTCGCGCTGTGAACCACCCGTCAGCAATAAGGGGTAAGTGAAGATGGCAATGAGGGTCTTGGTCCGCTGGCCATCGCGCGCATGTCAAAGCAGACTTCAGGAAAACAGAGGCCGGGCACTTGTATCAAGAAGCATGCTACTTTTAATGCATCTGACTGACGCTATTGAATGAAAGTTTACTACAGTACTGGCAGCCATGCATCGTACCTTGCCAATGCCCATAAACATTCATTATTATGGAGAAATTTCATGGATCATCGGCCGAATAGGCTTAGATATGTGATGCGATTACAGGGTTGCTTACTACTAGCGTTTAGCATAATCTATTATCATGCTTCGGATGTTGATATAGTTTAGTCGAATAACTTCTGCCAACGATATTCAAGTAGAAAAACCAGTGGTAATGTATTTCTACCAGGGTCAACCGCCCGTTGCGCAAAGAACAACGAGGGGGTCGTATTCAGCCGACCGAAAAGGGAGGGGGTCGTATCCACAAGACGGGCTGCAAGACGGCTTGAAAAGTGCAGTGTCCGGGAGTGCACTTTCAGCCTCTAATGTTCTCCAGGAGCTCTGCACGCTGTCGGAGAGTCACACAGACAAGAGCTCCATGGGAGCATTAGAGCATGCAGAGCATTATAAGTCTCACTATCAGCCATTATTATAACACGGACGGCGCTTTCGCTCGACAGCATAGATCAAGATTACAATAGCCAAAATTTTTTTTACAGCGTAGTGCAAAAACATGGCTTGTCTTTGATGATTGAAAATTGTTGAAATCCCGAGGAGAACGAAAAGTGGAACACTTCATGGGGAAGTGAAGCAAGAGCCATATAACATATAACAGTAACATAAGCATCCTACTTACTATATAAAGCGCTTCGTCTGTCGTTCTGTCCCTCTGTCCCTCTGTCTGTCGTTCTGTATGTCTGTCACGAAATTCCCTAGCTCCTCGGGATCCGCCTGGAGGGACCGGGTCAAGTGTGGGATGGGTGGGCAGGGTCTCACGTAATACAAAACACACATCAGCTAAGCGGAGCCCCGCCCACAGAGGGCGTGGCGTGCGTCGAAATGAATTGTACCAAAGACCAAGATTTCGATTTCAGTGAAAAAACGACCTCGAAACTGGGCCAAAAAGTGGGTAAAGGTGTGCATTGGTAAGTCACATCGAATTAGGGAGACCCACCCCCGGTGGGCGGGGCGTTCTCTAAAAAAGCAGTGCTTTATGAAAAATTTCATAACTCGGTTGGGAGAAAGCCTACAGAGCAGAAAACAATTTGGTGTAAGGGAGCAATGTCTAAGGTGTTTCCCGCATACATGACGTGGGCGGAGGCCTGCCCAGAATGGGCGGGGCGCGCTCTGAAGTGTACAGCATTTTCTACAAGCCCTCATAATTCGGGTCGG